ATATAATTACACGCCGGGCCGGATGTGGCCCGCGGGCCTTGAGTTTGACACATATGCATTAACCTTTGATTTTGATGGCAATTGCTTCTAAAACAACATTTATTTGGACTATGCCAATCTTTGAAGGGGTGCTTAATTTTATTTATTAAACTGATGTACTGCAGAATCAGGATCAATCTATAACAGGTTGGCTTATAACAGCATACCATAAGTCAAGAATAAAGCAATATAATGGCAATATAATGCAGTAAATTATAAAAGCCATAGTGACAACCTCAGCACTGATAAAGGATTCATTAGGATTTCAACACTCTTTGGATGAATTCTGTGTTCTTGAAAGATGCCTGGGCAGGTGCCATCTGAATTTCTGGTGCAAAACTTCCCCAAAGAAAAATGTTCCCTTCAGGCCCCCACCTTTCCCACCTTATATGTGTGGGGAATTCCAAGCCTGTACCAAGTGCACTGGACAGGCCAAATCTACCTGAAAGTGGCATATGCCTATGAGTCAAGCCATACAGAGTTTGAAAGGTTAAAACCAGAACTTGAACTTGAATAAACAAAGCAACTCAATTCACTGGAAGATTAATAGAAAGATAGAAGTTAGTTGCAGTTAACCTAACCTGAAGCTGAATTTCAGTAACTCAAAAATCATAATACTGTAAAAAGGTATAATGACTATCTGTACACTCTTTCAATACAGCTAAATATATGTAAAAAGAGAAACTCTCTTCTTCTTGTTCCTCTTCTTGAGGGTCAGGCAATGGAAAAATACTTGTGGCACTTCTCATTATACTACTGTAATTGCTGAATGCTTTTTTTTTTAAATATGAGACATATTTAATTAGATTAAACACCTGTTTTAAATGTTATGTTTAAAAATAAACTTGGGTAATTTTAAATCTAAAGTATGATTTATGTTTTTGAAAACAAAGCTGGAATGTTAATAGAAAATAATTCACTGCACTAGAAAAAAGAAAAAGCAAAAAAAAAAAAAACAAAAAAAAAAAAAACAAAAAAAAAAAAAACAAAAAAAAAAAAAACAAAAAAAAAAAAAACAAAAAAAAAAAAAACAAAAAAAAAAAAAACAAAAAAAAAAAAAACAAAAAAAAAAAAAACAAAAAAAAAAAAAACAAAAAAAAAAAAAACAAAAAAAAAAAAAACAAAAAAAAAAAAAACCCAATATGAACAGAGGTATAAAGAGTTGTTGATGTGGCATACTGAGATTTTTTCAAGAGCATTCTGTTAAACCAGGCTGAGGCTAAATTTTACAACAGAAAATTAAATTCATGTTCAAAACACATTTGTTAGAAGACACACTGCTATCTGGTATTTTGACCTGTGGAAAATACTGGCTTAAACACAATCATAATGTACCTAGCTGAAGCTATGTATATTCATATCTATTTATATTTTTTTTCTTACTCCTGTGCTAGGTTTTGGAGTGAATACCTAATAGGGATTGTATGTATTCTGACTAGCTGCTGTTTGATTTAATGAGAAGAAAGTGAGGAAGATGGAAGATGAACAACTATTTACAAAATGCAGTGTGTTTCTCTCCCCCTCTTCTTACTTATCTTCTGTGCCTTTGGCTTCACTGCATCTGCTCTCTTGTAGTAACGGGGCCCGCCCTTTACAAAAGTCATTTCCTCTCTTATTAGAGAAAGGGGAATGCAAATGAACCCACCTCTAAACTTATAGAAATCTTGAAGATTTCTCAAGCTAGTTGGAAGGAGCCCAGTTTCTGTTCCTTCCTCTGAACTGGCTTGAGATAACATGCTTAATGCATTTACATGGATAAAGAAATTCAGCTCCTAATGATTTTTCAACATGATCCAAAGATTAGTCATTATAGCTCTGGAGCTTCTCTTTTCCCAAGTTCATAAACCAAAACAATGAGTCTTCTTGGGGAGTCAGAATCACACCTAGTTAGCATTTCTTGTATTCTCCTTTGCAGTACCAAGTAGCATAGTAAGCACCTGAGGACTGCAAGAACTGTTCTCCTGAAGCAGAAAAATATTTTTTTATACTATGTTGTTACTTGCAGTTAGAATATGTATGCTTATTCCATGACATCAGAGAAGCCCAGACAACAATTCAGAATGGCTGATAGATAGGCAACAGCTCTGTAAACACAATTAATTACTGCTTCATAGTTAAACTGAAGTTTACACAACAATGCTAGCTCTGTTGATAAGCCATAATTATGGTTTCAAGGGATACATTTACATGCCAGTAATCAAGTTGAGCCCAGTTACATCCTACTATACTATGTAATTCGAGAACAATTTATATACTTGAATCTAGACACATCGTTCTATTATTTTACAATAGCAACAAGAATACACTGCTTCTTAATTTCATATCTAATTTTGTTTACCTGAGCGGAGAAATCAATGAGCTTTGGCAGTAGTAATTTTGTCCCTTCTGTACTCTTCAGAAAATCCAATAAGCTTCCTGTGGAGATAAAGCAAGTATATTGGCAAAAAATACAAATAAAGCACAATTATCTGGATTTCCAGATTGTGCTAAAGTATGCGATTTTACATTATGATTTGCTGAATAACCCAGAGTTGATTGAATTTACACCAAAGGTTAAGAAACCACATAATGGCTGAGTGCAAACTGTGAACTTAGCCACCAAGTGAAGTTGTAAACGTTGCTATTGCATATCCCCATTCTTCAAGCATGTTAGGACTTCCAACCGCCACCACTGTAGCCATGCTTTCTGGGAATCTGGAATTTATACTCTCAAACACATCTGGAGGGAACCAGGTAGGGAAAGAATGATATATATAATATATTCCTGCATGGTACTTTAATTTATGGAGAACAGTTTAGTCCAGAAAAAAGCCAACGTCCAGGATAAGAGGCCAACAGTTCTGCCCAGATTCAGAAGTTAATGAAGACTGTCTCTCTACTTCAGAGCTAATGACTATCGGTAAATAATATTTTTTGATACTACATGCAATAATGCCTACCTTTTGCCATAAATTCAGTTATTATGTAAATAGGTTCTTCTTTGGTGACTACAGCATATAGCCTCACCAACTTGTCATGCTGAAGTGTTTTCATCAGGTTGGCTTCTTCCAGGAATGCTTGCACAGACATTGTGCCAGGTTTCAAAGTTTTCACTGCAACTTTGGTATTGTTATTATAGTAACCTAGAATGAGATTGATAAAATGAATCCCAAAAGCTAAATTAATACAAATCTACTTAAATGTAAATATCTAGACATGTCATTTTGCTCTATGCTGTACATATGTGAGAGTCCCGCCTTATCCAACCTGGTATTCCCCACATATTAATTGATCTGGAAGAAGTAATTTGGATCTTGCATTTATTAAATGTAAGGTATGCTACTCATCAAAGCAACCTTTTTTCAGGCTTCCATGTTATACAGAAAAAAGATGCTGCTACTTTAGTGTATCCATACTTCCAAATCATATGTGAAGTGTGCATAACCCTATTTTTCATATTTATCTATAGTCCACCCAATCACTCACTGATGACTTTAAACTATGTACTATCAGAGCTAAAGGGGAAAGATTAATATAGCACTTGATTTCCTGAACACTTCTGGAACATTCTGCACAAAAAGTAATTCACTTTAGCACATAAATCTACTTATTGTTGAATTGTCTGAAAAAGGTAATATGTCCTAAGATGGAGAAAAACCTATAGAGGACATGTTAAGGTTGCTGCTAACAGAATCTGTTCAGCACATTTCAGTATCAGGAAAGACTTTTCTCTTAGATAATAACCTTCAAAGGAAAAATGTTAATTTTAATGTTTACATATTTCTGATTTGAACCTTATAGAACTATTTGCTTCAGAGACTTTCCAAATATCTACTCTCTGCTTGTTGGACACTACAGAAAATTGGGAGATGAATGGGCCTACAAAAGCACATTAAGCTCTTAAAACATTTGAATGACTTTCTTACAGCTAAACTGCAAGAAGGAATGTAATACTCGTGACAAACTCATATTTAATGATATCACAAAAATCCAGAAAAAGCCTGTATACATTTAATCTCTTTATATTAGGACACTAAATAAATAATAGCTGTTTCTTAAATTTATACAAAATTGCATATACGACTGACATTTTTTCCCCCAAGCAATGAGGGAGGTTAGGCCCATGGCCACTCAACTAAACAGACGGGGAATGATTTTAAATTTGAATATTCTTGGTAGCGTTAGTGGGGTAACAAAATTTGGTTTTTTGACAAAATCCTGTACCAAAGGTTTTTAAAAAAAATTATACATATTTTACTCTGTGCATTTTTCACAAATTTTATCAGATTTCTTGCTTCTTTTTACATGGAATTAATTCCCATCAAAAATAATGGGATGTATTCCTGAGTGCAGGTATTATATAATCTTTTGAATGCAATTTTTCTACAAAGCAGACCCTCTCTAACGAAGGAAGGTTTGCTCTTGCCTATGAGAGCTCATGTTATAATATAGTTCAGGATGTAAAATGTTGTGAGATTCTTTGCTATTTTAGGTCACTGGATTAAAACACTTATTCTTCTATAGAATTTTAAACATAATAACGGACCTTTCTGCCTTTACTGTCTTCTGGCCTTATTAGTATCTCCTTTCACTAACTTTCTTTGATTTCTTTGCCACACTAAAATCATTATGGCGCACACAAAGCAAAATGCATGTCCTTAGGGAAAGGCAAAGACAACCGAAATCTATTAAGTAATGGGGTTCAGTTCCAGGACATTTCTACATGAGCTGCATGACAAGCTCATTTGCATGATGGCAGACAGTAGCAGGAGCAGCATGTAGTTCGGCTTCACAGTGCAGTAATTTTGTCATTGACTAGCGGTTACTCAGAGGACTACAGTATGCTAAATTTAGATGTCAGAGTGGCTACATAAACAAGAGGAAACATCTTGAACCAGAAACACCGTCCCCTTTCTTTTTTACATAAAGATGCAGGAACATAACTTCCTGAAATTAGTTCTTCCTTTTGCAGATGACAGCACTTCACTAGCCTACAGTATATTAACTCATTTTGCAATTATTATTTTTTTGGTTTGGCAAAACCCCCAAGATGATGCCTGAGAAGCATATTTTATCTGCAAGTCTTATATGAAGATGTATTTTCTGTTAAATTAACAAATCAGCCACCATTGTGAAGGCATGGCCATACGGAGATGGGTTCACTATACTGCAGAGACACACAGTCTGTGGGCAAAAGGAAAACAGAGAATGCAACTGAACTCAACAATCATAGTCAGCAAAGATTTATTCTGCACCACCCAACATTACTGTCAAGTACTGCATAAAGCACAACTTCATGCTTTATTAAAATATATCTCTATTTCTGTATCCTCTTACCCAATGCCTTTTCTCATCACATCTGAGACAGACAAGAGATTCATGTTTGCTATACCATGTGCTGAGTGCAAGTTACATATACACAGGTACTATGTGATTGATTATCAGGAATGTTCAGGGTAATTGTTCAACAACTTTTGGAAGGCCCACTTTGCTCACTCATGACATTAGGGGCTGCAACGTTGGGGATTTAGGAACCATACTGATTTTTTTTGAGAGTTACATGAGCGATGTTGGGGTAAGGACACCTACATTCTCTCACACCTTCTGTCACCTCTCTCTTCTTGTACGATCACTCAGGTCAGTGACCCTGATCAACACCATTGTTTCTTGACTGTTAACAGAAATCTAGTGCCAGTAATTACATCTACAGAGAATGCCAGCAAGATCACTCTTTGCCTGCTGCTAATAAGGTTCAAAACAATACGGATAGTTTAAACTTCTCTCTCTCCTCCCACTCCCATGATTCTGAGAAAATAATTAGCAATTGAGAAACAATTAAATTGCTTTCCTATGAGTATGATGAGTAAGCAGTGGAGAGAAGTGGATGGGGCTCATAAGCTACCCAAACTGATTTGAACACAGAACCTCAGTTTTGGACAAAATGTTTCATTTTTCCAAACACACGGACCTGGTTCATTTCCTGCACTGTATCACTGAAAAGCACAAAGCAATGTAGTACATATTTTGAATGCAAAATTATGCTTATCAATAATCTTTTCACAGTTAAGGAACAGATATCATTGTGGAAAAGCACTCTAAGATTCGCATTATGTGGGGTGATTATGCACATAGGTGGAGCCAGGATATTTGTGTTAATCTGGGGGGGGGGCGGGTTAGAAATCTTTTATATTCTAAAGCAGTGCTAAGACAATTTTAGGGCTTTACAGTATTGCTTTCATATTTCCTACCTCAAGATGGCAGAAAACAGTATCACCAATTCTTAACAATCATGATCAGAGAAGGCTTCGGATGCTACAAAGGAGCCACAGTTCCCCTCTCCTGCCCACCCTCTACCATTTACATGTTAGAAGCATCTGAAAAATTCTCCACATAAAATGAGCACCTTACCCATCCAAACTTCTCCAAACTGACCCGCTCCAAGTTTTTTCACTAATTTGATTGAATCTCGAGGGATTTCCCAGGCATCTTTATCCCACGGTTTCTGTGGTTTAGGACTAATACATGCTTTCTCTAGCTTTCTGCATAAGCCATCTGGTTGCTCTGTTTAAGAAACAAACATCCTGCATTTGTATCATTAGAAACATATTTGCAGTGACCAGCATACCTGCATTTCCTTTCTTAGAGGATAGGGTATTGCATTTATATATTTAATAAAATAGAATAAACAGAAAAGCCATCATTCCAATACAGCTTCACAATTCCATAACATTGGAGTTGCTGTGAGAAATGCCACAGATTCTGTTGCATTCATTTTTCATCCCTGACTCTAAACTGGCCTATCAGTAAGACCAGTGTGATCCTGGGATATAACTACAGGAAGTTAAATGTGACTAAGTGTATTAGAACTATGGGTACTTACGTAGCCTTTCTTATTTTCAATTTAAAATGTTACTTGATGAAATGCTACCTTGTGCCATTCACAGGAAGGTATTGTAATTACAGCAGCATAGTTAATCATACAACTGGAAAAATCTGTTCACGGCTGATAATAGTCGGAAAGGATGTCTATTGACAACCATTAAAATATATAAATTTCAGTAAGCTCTGTCTGGTGAATATCCAGTGAAATATATTTTGCTAATCATAACAGACCAAAAGGAACTTCTTGCTTACATCAGCCATGATATCCAAACTTATAAATTAATGCTTGTATTCTTAACTAAACATAGATATTTGCCATGCATTATACATTCAAAGAAACATGGAATAGTATTTAAGGAATAGTCTTCAGATATTGCTTCACAAAGGGGGGAATATAGGCATAAAGGGAAAAGAAAGATCTGAAAATATATATATAAAACATTATTGTGAATGAACTAAATTGCACTCCCTTAAATATCAACTGTGGTTTTTCTTTCCCACAGCAAATATGTTCACAAGGCCGCAGTGTTATACAAATAATTACAATGTTGATAATCTGAAGCGTCCCATTTCAAGCCAATCTGATATTCCTTAGACTGCACTTAGCTTATCTTTCTTTCACATTCATGTAAGCCTTTTGATTATTTCAACTGCCACTTTTCTGAGAATTGTCCTGGACTTACACTGATGTTCACCCTTGACACAATTTACCTGGTAAATCAGATTTAAGTAATCTGAAATGTAGAAATGTTTTCAGTAATGGCTAGTATTTGATAAGTACTTCAATAAAGCTACTGACTTACTTTGGTAATGTTTGATCATATCACTGATACAGGAAAAAGTAATCCTTGGAGAAATGTAATAGCCTCCATTGTCTAGGCTTCTGATTTTGTAGTGCTTAACAACATCACCGTTTTGTCCATCATGGTCTCTAATTGATAATGAATAACTACCTGTGGACATAAATAAATAAATAAATAAATAAATAAATAAATAAATAAATACATACATAAATGCATGCATGCATGCATGCATGCTAGTTGGTTGCTACCTTTAAAAAAGGTAGCATAAAAACAATTTTAATAAAGAAAAGGTTAAACTGTGTCAGCCTTGGAAGGTAGTCCAGATAGGAAGCACACCCAGATGAACTAGCTGTATCTTTATTGTACGGTTACATCAACATAATCTTGCAAGTCTGAAAGTACATTTCTCCACCGTCTCCTTCACGGCCCAAAAAACTAGGGAGGGTCCCTGAGATGTTTGCCGCACCCGTATTCCTTCAGCAGGGTCAGCTGCCTCATATCTCACCATTTCCCTGGCTGCAGTTCTTCCCCGCTTCCCAAGGTCATTCCTACATACCATTATAGTAAGACTAGGTACATCATATTGATATTTTTCTGATGTCTTCTAAATGGATTGGCAATAAAACAATTATTACTTTAGAAAGAAATTATTACTTCTGGAAAAAAGATTGCTAGTTTTGCCATTTGTTGAAAAATGGCTTCTTTAAAAAAAATAAAAGCAGCTGTTCCTGTGTTAACAATTCTGACTCTCCTCTGAACAAACAATGATTCAGAACAAAGGAAAATAATCATGGGACACTGGTTCTATTTTCCCACTATTGTTAATCATCTTATAAAATATTTTTCCCACTGTACCACTGATTCCAACTGCATTTCTTACAATTGTGAACAATTCCATTATGTTACAGCTGAACAGAGATGGATTTTGAGTTTAACAAGAGTCTCAAAGCAGTGTGAAATAGACATTCCTAAACATACTACAACTATTTCCCTTACACACTTTCCTTTTCTTCACACAACGCAAATCCAGAAACCATAATCACATAGCAGAACTGGCATCTGGAGGGAAACGTTCTTTATCCTATTCCTTCACTGTAGCTATCTATCTATCTGTGTGGTTGCTAGGAGTCGAAAACAACTTGATGGCACATAATCAATAATCAATCACTGGAGCAGATCACAACAAAAGGAGTACGGATGCCTATATACTGAAAGGAAATACATAGATTAAGAACAACTGTACTTTTCTTTCCCATTAGAGAAAGGACATGAGATAAAGATTTCAAAATCCTTTCTTAATGGTAACCTTGTAGTAATAAAAGTAGCAAAACATAGTTATTTTTTCTGCTCTTATCACACCTGCAGGGAGCCATCCAGGGACCTTGTTTAGAGTAACCCAATCTTTCCTGGAGAAGGAGAGGCCAGAGAAAATCTGTCAGATAAAATTGCTCCAACTTGCTCTGAGTTAGACTCTGGCTGTGCAGATCCCTTAGACAATATTAAGGAATAGTTATCAGGTAAGGAAAGGGAAGAGGACAGTCTCCCAGTTGGTTAAAGTGCCCCAGAATATAACATCTGCTTGGATCCAGGCAGTGGCAAACGCATCCTTGAGACAGGGGATGCTCCCTCTGCTTCTTAAAAAGGTGGCTATTTGTCACATCTTCAAGAAGCCAGCCCTGGATCCAATGGTATTGGATAATTTTTATCTGGTCTCCAACCTTCTCTTTTTAGGGAATGTTGTTGAGAAGGCAGTTAGTTTACAGTTCCAAAGGTCCTGGAGGAAATGGATTATCTGGACACTCCACGATCTCTTCAGTGGCTTTCAATACTATTGTTCATGGTAGTTTTCTGGACTGGCCAAGGAATGGAAGGGATGGTATTACAGTGGTTCTCTTCCTTCCTCCAAGGCTGGTAGACATGGGGGTGGAGGGAGATTTAACATAAAAACCCTTCTCTATGGGATCCTCAAGGTTCTATTCCCTCGCTACTCTTACATATCAGCCACATGAAACCACTGGGTAAAAACAATTGGTGGTACAAGGTCAGGTATCCTCAGTATACTGATGATTTCCAGTTACACAACTCCAACTTACAGCAATCAAGTGATGCTGTAAAGGTTCTTTCCCAATACCTAGAAACTGAATGGGAAAGAACAGGCTTTGGCTCCATCCAAGCAGTAGTCAGAGACTGTGGGTTTGGGGATCCACCACTTCTAGGGACTCTCCTCCATTAGTTCTGGGTGGAGTTGGATTCCTCCCAGACAGAGCTGGTGCACAGTTTGGGGGTCCTCTTATACTCTTGGCTCCTGCTGAAACAGGAGATAGGAGCCATAGCCAGAAGGGCTTTTGCAGAGATGTGCAAATTCTGCACATTCCTAGATTGAGGGGCCTGGCTCACACTCACTCATGTCTTAGTCACCGCCCATATGGACTACTGCAACATGCTCTTCATGAAGCTGCCTTCCACCTGGAAGCTGCAATTGGTCTAGAATATGATAGTATGCGTAATTATGGGCGCAACTTGGTGTGCCATTGTAACATTACTGCATTGTAACATCACTGGTCTCTTAAATGTTTCTGGGTAAAATTCAAGTTGCTGTTTAATACCTATAAAGGCCTTCATGCTACAGGGCCAGGTTATT